GGGCTTCTCTCATGAATGGGATTGTGTGTTGAAATGTGTTGATTTTTCACTATTCATTGTTTCTAAAACCCACTATGTATTTCAATGATATGCACAAAAAAAAGTTCTATCCCTTCAACGTAATTTTTAAAATGTAATTGTCGGTGAAGTGATCGCTAATTATATTGCATCCGGCGTTTCTCCCCTACGGAGGCTGCCATGTTTCGCCGCCATCTTTCTGCTACAGATACTCGAAGGAGACAAAATTCGACAACGTAGTTTTCAAATTATAACTACGGCACGTTTAACAAAGTCCATCCACTTACTACGTTAGTTGGGCTAATGCTAAAAGTCGTTTGGGATGACATTGTGCTTGCAACTCTGCTGATGTATTTAGTGATAGTTTCACGAAGTTCGGTCGCTCTGCTGCACCGTAGCGCCCCCTGCTACAAAACGCACAAATTTCAAGCAGAGCTCATTGCAATTTATTCGTTCACAACTACTTAGCGCTAAATTCTACAAACTTTACCTTTAAGTTGAACAAGCTTTGTCGTGAGTGCCTCTCTGGTGACGAAAACGCCGTCGTCATAACATCCGTAATATTTGGGCGATCATTATGATGTCTTCAGACTTGGCGACTACTGATTGCAATTTCCAGACATTCGGCGCCGTTTCATTTCCCACAATATACGTTTAGAATTTTCGACACGTCAGTACGGTAAGCGCGGAGGGACAGATTACATCAGTGCCATCAAATAAAGAGCCATTTCAACCGGTTTTAATAAAATAAACAACGGGAGACACAAACTGTTTAGCTATCTAAAATGACGACTGGTTTTCTTTTCCTTTTTTATTTTTTAACTTTGAATTTTTGCTGCACCAGGTTGGACCACGTGGCCGGTTCAAAGCTTACGTCAGCACGTAGTACTCCCAAGATGGTGTCCATGTATTTGTATTGTAAATGATGTCGATATTTGCGAGCGGTTGTAGCAAAGGGTGCCGTTCAAATCTATTGAGTGGCGGCAGCAGCAGTGTGATGCCAATACAGTAGAGTACAATATCTCCAAATATGGAGAAAAGTAATAACTGTCTGCAGGGCCGCCCAACTCCCTGGCGCATTTCATCTGTCCATTTTAATTCATCACTTACAAAAATCTTTGCTCATCTATCTTTGTCAGCAACTTATAAAGTCAAGCGGAAGAATTACACGCGCTTTAGATGGCAGAAGGTACAATAAACGTGTATCCACCTGTGGCCATTCGTCCGACAGAATGCAACAAGGCTTCCTGGGAATATATCACCTTTGCGGCCAAGTATTTCGCAACCAATAAGTCCACTTGGGAGTAAATTGAGAGGGGATCATCATACTTTGTGTGACATTTTTGTTTGGTGGTATGCCGTGAGATTTTTCACAATCAAGACCAAGAAACGCTGGCATGACAACCTCAAAGCTTCACCAAAGCAACATGAGGCTTCAAACGAAACGTGCGCTTAAGTGTGTGTATCCGCGAGGATTGGCCCGTTCCCACGTCATGTCAACTTGATCAGGAACCGCCTGTAGCAATGGTGTCCCTCCACAACCTGTGATTATTGCTATTTGGAGGGATTCTCCTGCTGAGAGCGTTATGTTGCGGCGGCAATGGAGTTAAGTTACCGAGTAAAGGGAGGCATGCCTCAATCGGCTCGCTGGCTCTCTGATTTCCTTACAGGAGGACAATGGGGAGCGGGAGGTACCACAATGTGTTCCCAGGCTCTGTCAGTGCTCAGCCCCACTTGGTGACGTGATGTGAAAGATGGCAGTGCCGGAAAGTAATCAAGTAACATTACTCGGTTACTGTATGTAAGATTTTTCAAATAGTACTTATTTGAGTGCTCATCTGGTGACTTTTGACGACCGTATTTTCCGCACAAGAAGACGCTTCCGAGTATAAGGCGCCCCTTCAATGAACGGCCTATTTTAAAATTGTTTTCATATATAGGGCGCACCTCATTATAAGGCACATAGAATAGAAGCTACAATAGTGGCTGAAGTTGCGTTATGCAGCCACTAGATGGAGCTACGCTAAATGCAATGCAATCCACCTTTATTTATATAATAATAATAATAATAATAATAATACACTTCATTTATAAGCGCCTCACGCTTTCACAACCGCTGCAACTGTTAAAAAGCATTTAAAATACTGTGTCCAAGAAATCAGAATATTGATCCATATGCAAGGTGCGTCGGGTTATAAGGTGCACTGTCAGCTTTTGAAAAATGGAATGCTTTTAGGTGCGCCTTATAGTGCAGAAAATACGGTACAGTATTTGAAAACGGATATCTCGACTTTCTGGGCTTGACTTTGTCAAAACATGCATGCTACGTTTTCAACGAAAAAGAATAAAGAGAGGGGAAGCCAATCGCGGCTGAGATCTTGATTGAATGAGATCTTGGATCTGTTCCCTGCGAAGCGGAGCCTCGGGTGCATAAGAGAATGAATGACACCTCGTCAGTCAAGCCTTCTATCTCTGATTGTTTTATTTCCCCACCCATCATTGTGTGTTTGTCTGTTTTTTTTTTTTTTACCTCTTATGATTCAGTCGCTCTCTTTTTCTCCATTTTTTAGAAATACATTTACCTCAGTACAGCAATCAGTACCAAACGACACAGGTTCGATTAGGTCGCTTTCTGTTTCTGCATGACGTACTGGGGTGTGCGCTACAACCGCCCTGAATATGATGCAAATGAGCTACGCCGCGAGCATTACCCAGAAAAAGTCTACGTTTCATCCCTCAAAGGCGCAAAACACCCCGTTGTGCCTCATTCTATTGTCACAAAGTCTAGCAACATAACAAAAGAATGAAAACTCCACCCATGCGCACAGTTAGACGACGCTTTGCGCTTCACTTGCGCAGGCACAGAAATAGGGCTCGACAACTCATTTTGTGTACATTTGAAAATATATATTTTCCCAAAATAGCGTGACTTTAGTTTTTTTGGGGGGAAAAAAAGTCTGGAAACAAAAGTCTGCAATGAGGTGAATAGCACAAGTCTACTTTGTCACATGGTGATAAAAAAAAAAAAAATGCTGATCTGAAAGTGTATATGTTCATATGGAAGCAAATACACTATCGAGCCTCAAATTAGGCCCGAAGAGGAGAATGAAGTGCACCGAGACGACCCCCGCCGCTACGGTTAGAATGAATCCACTCAGGACAAACACGGATAGGTTGGTGCCCAACCTTGTTGCTTTGAAGCAGCCGTGTGCCGCAGGCTTCCCAGTCCCCCACGTGGAGAACGGCCCATCATACGTTCATCATTTTCAACCCTTGAGAGGTCTTTTATGTTCGGCAATTTGGGAAGCCGAGAGTTCAAAGCAACCGTGTAGAAACAGCATTTCGCTATGAACACTGCATGCAAATGGAATAAGCTGCGAAATAAAGCAAACCCAGCTCCAAGTGCAAATGTTGTAACAACAACACTGATTTTAGATTCTCAGTCACCCATGGTCAAAAGTTGAAAAGAAGCAACTGGACTTGTCTTTTCTTTTTTTGGGGGGGATGTTCAAAAATGATGCTAATAGGTTACCTAAAATGTTTCCATTCCTCTCCATCCTCAGCCAGGAAGGGTTGAAGCAGGAATCTGGTCCAAATGTTCCAAGCATGCACAGACCAGCTCAGGAATCCTCTGCAGGCTTTCCTCCGGTCTGGAATGTCATTCGGTCGCGTGATGTCAACAAAGCAGGAAGCGACATCTTCAAATGGTCCTTTTTTTCTGCCGTTTTGAAAGTCGGGGTTGTTTTTGCAAGTGAAATCTCAATAGCAAATGGCCTCCACAGCACCTCCCACCCAAGGCTTCAATCAGCACCCGTGAAAATTGTGTTCTCATCTATTTCTATCACCATCACATATTTTGCATGTTCATCTTTTATTTTATTTATTTATATATTTTTGTACTACAGTATTTATTATGAGTACCGGAAGTATTTTTTTTAATGGTGATGTGTGCGTGTTATTACTTACTTTAGTGTTGTCCCAATTGTGATCATTTAAAGCATTGCTTCAGGTTTGTATTATCATGATTAATCCAGTCTATTATTGTCTTATCGTTAATTAGTTTTACGTGATTATTATTATTTGTTATTATTTAGTCTGCTTGGCACGTCCACCTCACAGTGCAGAGGTGCAGGGTTCGATTCGGGCTCCGGCCTTCCTGTGTGGAGTTTGCACGTTCTCCCCATGCCTGCGTGGGTTTTCTCCGGGTACTCCCACATTCCAAAAACATGTACGGTCGGTTAATGGAACACTCCAAATTGTCCCTCGGTGTGATTGTGAGCGCGGATGGCTGTTTGTCTCTTGTGTGCCCTGCGGATTGGCTGGTAACCAGTTCAGGGTCTCCCCCGCTTACTGCCCGAAGATGGCTGGGATCGGCTCCGCCCCCCGACCCTCGTGAGGATAAAGCGGTTCAGAAAATGGATGGATATTTTGTGTAGTAGTAGTAATATTTTGAATACTATTTATGGATGCTGTCAACACCCTAAAACAATTTTCATTTCGGGGGCGGAATTCAATGATCTGTTTAACGAATGACGTAGCTGATTTTAGCAGGGGTGGCCAGGAACATGTGATGTTTAAAGTGTTCTTTTTTTTTTTTTTTTTGTCCAGATATGACTTGACCTTTATTTTAAGAAGGTGATGATATGATCATTCTGTACTTGTGTTCTTAACATCCAAATTATCTTCTTTTTTTTTTTTTTTTAATTCGTACCACTATTCTCATTCTTATGATCAAGGTGCAGTCCACCGTGGGGCACAAACACAATGAGAGCTTCTGGCGTGGCAGATGGGGGTGGGGTGGCAGCTTGAAAAAGAGGCTCTGTTCTGCGTAACCTGATCCACACCTGACTGGAGGTTGGCATTCCACTCTCAACGGGGAAAGCGTCAGCGCCGCTTCAGGGCTGCGACAACGAAACGAGTACACATTGCAAGTGGATTCAGAAAAGAGAAGAAAAACAAAAATAATCCAAAGACACAAAAAGTCCATTCTTATTTCATTTATTCAATATGTTCTTTCACATGACATATATTGTGCCCGAGGATAAAGTCTGCATTTATCTACTGTACCTGGAGAAAAGCCAAGTTCCTGGAAGGTATTCTGTTACAGTACACGGGAGTAGACGACACGTCTCTCTACGGAGGGACAGGTCACCCTTATGCGGCCGCCAACGCTGACATTCCCCAAGTCTTAAAAACGTACCGATCGTAGAAAAAAGGTTAAACTTTGACTCGAGTCACGTGAAAGAATCCTGCTTGCATGCTTGACGCTTCCAGTGAGTGCAAGGATCACGGTTCCACAGTCACGTCCGCTAAGGCGCACGCGTGAAGACGCATCAGAGCGAGAAAGCAGAAGGAAGACAGCGGAAGGCAACGCCATTTAATGGACGGCATTACCAGACAGTATTAGACACCAGTAATTACATCTAACCATGTCTGGTAAGACGCCAATCAACAGGCTGGCAAGGGGACCTCTGAGGAAGCAGCAATGCAGAAGAAACGACCTGACCGAAGTTCCTCATTCCGCGGCGCTTTCAGACTCGTACGAGCACCAAAGGCCATCAAGCCTCCCTTTCGCTCTCCAGCCGTCGCCAATCGCTGACAACGAGACGAGTGTTGCCGGTGGCTTGGGTAATGGAGCCGAGTGGGTACATAAAGGTGCGGCTCCGTCTTTAGTGTGACGGGTAATTCTCCCTCCTTAAACACACACGCGAGGCGCTCATGCCTCCGTTCAGTTCAGTTTCACGATGAGCCGCACAAACCGACGGCTGCCACGCGGCACAAAGGCCGGCGCTGTTCATGGTAGGCAAGCGGCAAAAAAAAAAAAAAGAAAGAATAGAAAAACGGCCTTGCACGACCGGTGGAACGATCAACGTGCCGCTTTTCTATTATGCAGCTGGGGCGGGGTTGACATTGGAGCCAAGAGGAAAAAAAATCAAATAAAATCAGGAAGGTGAGTAAAGAAGTAAAAGATGGAAGCTGTATTATAAAGCGGTTACGCAAGGCTTTTTTTTCGAATGCTAGTGTCGCTCTTCCCATCTTCAAAATGAGGACGGGTGTTTGATGCATGCCTGCCTCCGCGTTATGTCACAAAAGTAACACGCTGCCGCCGTCACGGGTGTGCTTATCGGGCTCGCCCATTGGCTGAATTTTTGCTACTGACGGAATCGTATTACGTTCACCCATCACACACGTCGACGCCCTGGTATTCATTCCAAAGACGGCGTACGAGCCCCCTTTAACGAAAGGCGCAACACGCGCACTCCAACTCCTCCTTACGTCGCCCGGCTTAATATCGACCCCGGCGCCTCGCTTTACATGAATCACACAGCAGCCAATAGTCGATTTCAAGGGAAGATTTGTCGAGGCGACCATGTGACCGACTGCAGGTTTGTGGTCCCCCAGAAAACATCGTTACCAGACAGTGTTAGAACAACAACAGTACAATCCAGCACTGCCCGGTAAGATGGATCCTGAGAGCCTCCTTCGCCGACTCGCTTCACACGAGGCGGCTGCTGCTGCTGCTGCTGCGGCTAAACCTCACGCCCGCTGCTCGTATCATTTAAGCGATAGTTGCAAGCAGATGACTATCATCATCATTACCAGGCAGTATTAGAAAAAGACATGTAATCCAATGCTGCCTCGTAAGATGGAGATGGTCACCCTTGAAGACGCCCCGAAAGACCTACCGAGGATGGACAAACGTGTGTCATCGCTTATGCTCGATTCTATTTGTGCTACGCTACTCATAAGGGTTTTTTTTTTTTTTTTTTGTGAGTGCCACAAGATGGTCCCAAAGACCTGTCTAATAGGAAAGTAGGACATGGGGACCAAGTAACTACAAGTTGAAGTGACACATTTGATGGAGAGACGAGCTCTGTATGTTGGGGGCGGGGCTAAGTTTACATTGGGCTGTTAGCCGAAGAAGAGAGTCTTTGTAGCACGTGCACGTACACATGCACTTTGGGTTCATTTTTTTTTTTCAATCAAAGAATGATCTGTTAATATCGGATTTTTTTTTTTTTTTTTTTTTTTTGCTGCTAAAGTGAGTGACTGTTCAATTGAAGGTTTGCAAGTGCAGCCCGGAGGAACATTTTGTCTCTGCGTTGCACGAGCGGGACATCCGCTTGAGAAGGCCTCGCGTTGCGCTCTCCAGCCCACACGGGCTGTCACAGAACACCGGGCCACAAAAGTTGTTAATGATTGCCCAAACCTGTTCTGACTAGTTGAAAGTTACGGCGCGGCAACGACGGGGAGGAAGGGCTGCTTTTTCACACGATACTCCGCAGCAGTTGCTAATTTCACACAAAATACCGACGCATTAAAAGTAAGTCAAGCCATTGGGCGTTGTTACTCGATGACGCAGAATTGGATTTAAAAAAAAAAAAAAATTCCGATCACAACTTTTGGTTCGGAGTTAACTGGCATTCAATGACAGCCTAAAATATGAGGGGGTGTTCTTTTTTTTTTTTTTCCTCCCCCCCACCCCACCCCGATTGGTGAACCTCCGATGCTGTCGTCTTTGTGTGAGTGGAATGATGAAAGGCTGAAGGAATGCTGCTCAGCTCGACCTGAGCGGCCAGCCTGTATGCAGAAGGTCACCGAAACGGCGCGCCGTTACTGAATAATGTGGCTACTTTGCAGGTGCACCGTGCCAAAGGCTCGCCCCCCCATACCCGCCGCTCGGTTATTTTCCCTTCATCAAAACGACATTCTTGCTAAATTACATGAAATCGAATTCACCACATTTTTTTTTCTCTTTCAAACGGAAAATCTTGTTGAAGGTTACTTAGTTCCAACTATCTTGTTACAAAATTACAACTATCTTAGATTACAAAAAAAAAAAAAGGCGTGCTCATATGTTGAAAGGTTTTCCGTCACCCCGCAAGCAAGGTAAAAGTTGAGCCCGGGGTTGAGAAGGGGGAAGGGAGAAAGAAGGGTGGAGGGGGAGCAAAATGGAGAAGGCACCTGTAATCTTACCGTCTTGGAGAGGTACGGCGAGCAAAGAATGCCACCAAACCAAACTTTTGTTTGGGAAGGCAGGGGCCGAAAAAGAAGCAGAAGAAAGGTCTCGCCCGAGAACACTCCCGTCCTCCTCGCGGTCAGCCGGGCCCCAGCAAAATGAGAAAGCCGAGCAGACCTGCTCTCCCACAACTCTATTTAGTTAATCATCAGCATTATAAACCAGCGCCGCCGCCGCCGCCGGCGGCCCTCTGAGGACGACAAGAAGGGAGAGGGAGAAAAGAAAGGGTGTGAGAAAAGATTAGACAAGGCTTACGGATACCTGGTCAAAGTAACGAGCCCGCCCTCACGCCCACAAAACTTCCGCCGGCGGTTGCGCTTCTTGGCAAAAGTTTGTCCCATTGTACAAGGCGGCGCGGCGCCGGTGGGAGTCGTGAGCGCTGGCGGCTGCCCACGCTTTTTTTTTTTTTTTTGCTAGCTGGAAGTGAGGCGTGATCAGGTAACTCTGCCCTCTGTGCTGGAATGCGACTCCGCTGTGAAGTGAACAACCCGATAGGTAAACGGGCCGGGCCCTTAATCAATAGTCGCCTTTCTTTGTGAGAAAACAATGGAAAGGAAACCCAAAACTTTATTTAAGCGCGGACGTTATCTCGGCCGGCCCACCCGCTGAGGGGCAACCGAGGCGCTTCAACCCTGCTCGTCCTTTGCATCCCAAATGTAAAATGGCACATTTCAGCTTACGCGCGTTCTTGGCTGTTTTATTTGTTGATTCATTTATTCATTTTAATTGGAACGGTGCACATTAATCAACACAAGACTATAAACAGTGTAAATGCCCCAGACTTAGCATAAATGCTAGTTATTAGCCGTAGTCCCAAGGCAGGTTTCGAAAATAGCATGGTGAGACATATAAAACTTTCAAACCACAATGAAATCATAACAGTTATTTGTATCGAGCGATATTTGCATTGAGTGTGTATTTCAAATTTTGATTAAATAATAATAATAATGAAAATTGAAGAAAATCAAATATTAGATGATTGAAATCCTAAATGTGACATCACCAACCATTTAAAATGGTGCCATCCCATATTACAGTGAAGGCCCCTCCCCTTTCTGACCCCCCCCCTCCTCCCCCCATCAGGAACATCAAACTGCACCTTGACGGTAACTACTTTCCATAAATCATGAAACGCCCTCAAATTCCACTTAAGTACGAACAAATGAAGCACAGCTCAGCCCCCCCCCCCGCGCC